GAAATAGATAATAATTTCGAGGCAGTATTAGACGAGTCGTCCGACGAAGATCAAATGGAAATAGAGAATAATTTCGAGGCAGTATCAGATGAATCGTCCGACGAAGATCGCGCATTGTCGGATGACAGTAATTACAAGAGCGATCAAAGCGAAGACCTCGAAGAAAGTGTTGACAAGATAGTGCCTCATTCGCAAATTATTGCACTAAACGGACGTACAAAATTTTGCACCATATATTTTTATTATTCCACGGGTGGTGCTTTAGATTTATGTACTACATGTATGATCGCTATAGCAGACACTGATTTCGGGTACATGTATGCGGTTCGGAAGCATGTGATTGAATTATACGACGCGATAAGTGGCCGGTCCTGCTCCAATTGCAGGACTCCATTGTATCAGATTTTTCCATGCAATATGTGCCCAATTTGCACACAGTAAAAAAAAAACATTGTTATGGAAAGTGTGAAAAATAAGCTATGACAGTATACGGTAACAATATATGTAACAATTAAATAAAAAATCTCATCGCAAACGAGATCTTTTAGATTTAAAAATAAGTTTAACAGGTGTCAAAAGTGCATAACGAAAAATTTTGGTCGCGCGAAGAAAAGTCAAGTGCTTTTCCTTCGCCCGTGCTCTCCGACACACTTGAACGCGCCAGTAATAAACATTGCCGCAACAGATCTGGATTTTTCCGACGCGACAGGATAGTATCGTCCGAGTTACCAGAGCGAACGTTTGACAGTGCAACAAGTTAAAGTGTTTAAAGTGATCAAAAAAATTTTTTAAATGCCATCATTAATTGAACTTGTATTGTGTCGGGGTCGCTGGAACGCGTCGTGGTGGGCGGAGGACCTTGCGATGGGGCTGTTGAGAGCCCTCTTAAATCTGGTTGTATACCAGAGAGTAAGTAGCATTTTTTATTTTATATTACATTAATTATTTATAGTATATATTATAATTTTGATTTATAGTACGATACTAGGATGGACATCCAGATCCCTGGATTTTTAAATTTCGAACACCGGCGGTTTATTCGAATAGTGCGGTGGCACGAGCGCGAGATACGTGAGGACGTCTGGGAGGACAACGGTCCCGACGGCCTCCACTTAGACCTGAGACGCCTCTTCGAAGTATTTCTTTTTAAAATTTCATAATATATTAAATATTAACAGATAGATTTATTAACAAGATATGTATTTTTTCTGTTTCAGAAGGAATCTGCAGCAAATTTTATTATATTTTTATATTTTATATTTTTTTAAACACACACACACACACACATTTATATGATATACACAATTTCGAATAAATATTATTATTATTATATTAAAAAATGTCGATTATTTCTGTGCTTCCTTCTTTCCTTTTCCTACTTGTGCATGCCTCGCGCTATTTCTCTCTCTCTCTCTCTTTCTCTCTCTCTCTCCCACATGCATGCGAACGTCATCCTTTTCCCACGCCAATGCGGACGCTATCCTTCTCCTACACGCGTGCGTGCCTCGCGCTATCTCTCTCGCACCGCCTTACGAACGCCATATCTCGCATCATCATCCACGCGCATGCCTCGCGCTATCCTTCTCGCGCTATCCTTCTCGCACACCCATAGAATGCTATCCTTTTCCTACTCGCGAACGCCTCGCGCTATCCTTCTCCCACCCGGTCGCGCCGCAGTTACATATCTATCTTATATGCGAGGATGCACGCGTGTAGGAGAAGGATAGCGCGAGCAAGGAAGGGAAGCGAAAAAAATACATAATCATTTTTTTTCATTTTAACACATTTATTTATGTTAAAATACATCACCTCGTCTCAAGGTTTCAGACAAAAGTTCATCCACAGCATACGCTAATAGTTCGCAATCTATGACAGATGTTTTATCATAGACGTCGCGCAAGATTTTAATAGCATCATCTTTTTCGGCACCAAACATATTACCTTGCAAATTAACGACAAGTCGATCAAAACTCTCATTTACGGCTTTTATATTCTCACACAGTTTCAAATATTTATGATTAACGCAATGTTCGAATTCGAATAAAATAAGAAAAGTTGACGGTTTCATGTACAAGCAAGAATCGCGCAACGTAAGTTTGACAACACTCGCATCACTTATTTTAACAATCTCAATTCAATTATCGTTAATCCATATTGGTGTATGATCGGGCGTTTGCACAAGTCGTTCAACGTCCGCTCGTTTCAGCATTAGCGATTCCCATGTGTCAATAGATAATACGATTTGATTGCCTCGGTTATCGCCGAGATGTAATTCCACGTAAGATGTTACTCCAACGCTGATTCCAATATCCAAGTATTTATAAGCAGTGCGCGTCAAAGCAAATCTGCGTACCAAAAT